GAAGCAGCAGCTACAGCAGCAGCAGCAGCAAACGGCTTTGCTGCTGCTGCTGCTGCTGCAAACATGCCCCCCGTTGTAGTGCAGCAGCTGGAGGCTGTCCGCCAGCTGCTGCAGCAGCAACTCTAGTGTGCCTAAATCTATGACAGCAGCTGCTCGCTTCGTTGCTGCTGCAGCACCTGCTGCTGCTGCAGCACCTGCTGCTGCTGCAGCACCTGCTGCTGCTGCAGCGCCTATTGCTGCTGCAGCACCTACTACTGCTGCAGCGCCTGCTGCAGCTTGTCTAAACCTAGCAGCGGCAGAACGAGTTCCTGCTGCAGCGCCTGCTGCTGCTGCTGCTGCAGCAGCAGCAGGGAGCTAGCAGCAAATCAGAGATCGTCCTTCGCGGAGACGCACCCCGCGCGGGTCCGTTGCTGCTGCTGCTGCCTTGCTGCTGCGTCCACAGCAGCAGCAGCAGCAGCAGCAGCAGTCGCAGCTCCTTGCTGGTGCACTGGGGCCCGTTGCTGCGGCATTGCACTGTGCTGCCGCTGCAGCAGCTGCTGCTGCGCTTGCTGCTGCAGCAGCTGCCGCTGCGCTTGCTGCTGCTGTCGCTGCAGCAGCAGCGGTTGCTGCTGCTGCGGCGGGGACAGCTGCTGTTGTGTTTGCTGCTGCTGCTGCAGCAACTGGTGTTGTGTTTGCTGCTGCCGCTGCAGCAGCTGCTGGTGTGTTCGCTGCCGCAGCTGCTGCAGCAGCTGCCGGTGCGCTTGCTGCTGCTGTTGCTGCTGCAGCTGCTGCTGCTGCTGCTGCTGCTGCTGCAGCTAGTTAATGTGCTGCTTGCGGCCAGCCTCTTCTCTATTAAGTGCATGCAGCAGCAGCAAAGCCCCAAGAGGCACTGCAGCAGTAATTAAAGGCGGCGACCAAATGTAGCAGCAAAGTGAAGCCACGATGTGCAGCAGCAGCAGCAGACACACGCTCGGCACCACCATGCTGCAGCAGCAACAGCAGCAGCAGCAGCAGCAGCAGCAGCAGCAGCAGCAGCAGCAGCAGCAACGCATGATGCGGGTTCTAGGGCTTAAGGGTCAGAACTGCAGCTAACAAGTCTTGGGTCTAGGGTTTAGGGTTTAGGGGGCGTTCAGCGAAGAGGCTAGGGTTTAGGGTTTGAGCTTGGGTTTAGGGTTTGAGCTACGGTTTAGGGCTTGAGCTAGGGTTTAGGGTTTGAGCTAGGGTTTAGGGTTTGAGCTAGGGTTTAGGGTTTACTTGATGTCGGTAATCAGATAAAACAAATCTCCAGAAGGCAGCACCTTTCTCTGCAGGAAAGAAAGCAGCAAAGACATGCAGCTGCTGCTAGGGTTTAGGGTTTAGGGTTTAGGGTTTGCAGGCCTCTGCCCCTGCTGCAGTTGCTGGCTTTTACATTCCCTGCCCCCAAGTGCAACCCCTGGAGTAGCAGCAGCAGCAGCAGCAACAAAGCAGCAGCAGCAGCAACAAAGCAGCAGCAGCAGCAGCACAGTTGCAGCAGCAAAGTAGCAGCAGCAACAGCAAAGCAGCAGCAGCAGCAACAGCGCAGCAGCAGGAGACTCCAGCAGCAGCAGCGGCTTACCCTCGTCCCGCCTGTCGTGGTATGCACTCGGTAGCTGTCTGCTGCAGCAGCAGCAACAGTTGCCTGCTGCTGCTGCTGCTGCTGCTGCTGCTGCTGCTGCTGTGTTTCTGCTGCTAGGCGGGAGACCGAATAGCCTGGCAGCTGCTCGAGAGCAGCAATGGCGCTCTCATTCGGCACAGTCACGTACACTGTCTCTCTGCAGCAGCAGCAGCAGCAGCAGCAGCAGCAGCAGCAAACCCTAAGCCCTGCTCCTGCAGCCTCTCAGCAGCAGCAGCAGCAGCAGCAGCAGCAGCAGCAGCAGCAGCTCACGTGTCCTCGTCGTGCTGCAGCACGTGGACGTCCAGGGGAAGGGCCAAGTCTTTGAACTCCTCGAGGCCGCTGGCGGTCACCGGGCGAACTGCTGCTCGGACTGGCGCCATCTTGCTGCTGCTGCTGCTGCTGCTGCTGCTGCTGCTGCTGCTGCTGCTGCTTCTGCTGCTGTTTTCTGGGAATGCGCAGTGACGGAACGCCGGAGCAAAGAGCTGAAGCACTCAGAGGCAACACACTCAGCTGGGAGTTGCCTGAAGGCTGCTGCTGCTGCTGCCGCTGCTGTCGCTGCTGCTGCTGCTGCTGCTGCTGTTGCTGCTGCTGCTGCTGCTGCTGGTCTCGCAGCACTCACTGAACTCAAGAGACAGCCCTGGAAGAACAGGAAATGTGAAGGATCAAGAAGCTGGGGACTCAGAAGCGGCGCCGGTTTGGCTACTCGTCCAAACCCTAAACCCTAAACCCTAAACCCTAAACCCTAAACCCTGGACGTGGGGAGAAAGACGAGGCGCGCTGAAGCAAAGAGAGCCTTCAAGTGTACGTACAGCTGAAACTTAGAGAGTAAAAGAAATAGAGGCGGTTTTAGCGCCGATACAGAACAGCCCAAACCCTAAACCCTAAACC